AAAAAAAAAAAAAAAAGAATAAAATAAAATAAAATAAAAAAACTTTGAGTTCTTTCTGAAGTTTATAAGTCAAGCTAACTACTTACTTTTTTTCATTCATTGAAATAGCCCTTCTTAATGTTTCTATGCAGATTATAGCTTTGCAATCAAGTGTGGCGGTCCTTCAATTACATCATCAGAAAAAATTACGTATGAAAGGGATAATGAGACCCTTGGTCCTGATATTATTTTGTTACCGATTACAACAAGATGGGCAGTTAGCAATGTGGGGTTATTTTACTGGGTCAACAATCCTCTATACACAAGTTTTGTATCCAATCAGTTCACTGGTACTGTGGACTCAGAGCTCTTCCAGACGGCACGGCTATCTGCTTCTTCATTAAGATATTATGGCCTGGGGCTGGAAAACGGGGATTATAACATTTCCCTCTATTTTCTCAGAAACATCAATTCTTGATACTACTACATGGCAAAGTCTTGGAAGGCGGGTCTTTCGATATATATATCCAGGTGCATATGATTTTTTCTGAAGTCAATGCTAGACTTTTTATGTGGTAGTCCAAATGGGAGTCACTAACTTTCTCAGAGATGCACCTGTCTGTCTATTTATAGATAGGTCAAGTAGAAGGATTTGTATATGCAGCACAACTCCAGCCCACTATCATTAGCTGACCGGTTTTATCCTAGCTGTACAATAAAAGTATTTCTTAAAACAATTTTTTTTTTTTGAATGCATATAATTGGACTGATCTTCTCTTATCTTGAACTTTAGGAATGAATGACAATCTAACATCATGTACAAAGCAATGTTCTCGAATGACATTTGAAGGAGGTTGTGCAAATCACAATAAGTATAGTAATCTAACCTTATTCGTTTTGCCTGTCAATGTATAAATATTCAAAGACAAAATTACAGAAGTTTTTCATTAAAATTTTCCTTAACTAACACAACATAAATCTATTGAATAGTATGTGCAAGATATATCAGGGCATTTGTAAAACAGCTTAAGTTTTTGTATTGTAATGGTCGTTGTTATGATGCATGACATTTTCTGTTCCAAGGCCAAAACGTGCATGAATTGTTGTGCCACATTTCAATCTTAGACCCTTGGCTATCAATCGATGTTCATATTCATGTGAGATTCAACAAAGTTTTATATTAACTGTTGAGAGCCTAATATAACCTTCCTCCTTTACCTGGGCTTGAGACCAGCTATATAACATGGTGGAGTTGCCTATTAATCAATGTATTGTATCTTCTCTCTTTTTAGCAAATTAATGTATCATATCTTTGATTTGAGGAATCTTGCTGGTTTTTTATAAAAAAGAGGCGTGTGTACTTGGAGGAAACTAGAGATTTTATCATGGTTGATATGGAATCCCTTCTCTTTCCTTTCCCCCCTTTTTTTGCCTCCTTCTCTTGTTTCTTTTTTTTTCTTTGCCCCATTCCAGGGGAATCTTGTTTGGAGGAGGATTTTAACATTAAAAGGGAAGCTGGGTGGTGCCTCTTTTAGAGCTGTCCGAAGGGTTTTCAGGCTCATGTGGTCAGAAAACTTTCTTGAGATCCATCTCTTTTGGGCTGGAAAAGGGAATTGCTGCATACCAGCTCAAGGTACTTATGGTCCTTTGATTTCAGCAATCAGCTGCTTATGTGTTGATAGATTTCATTCCCTCCGTGAGTAACACCTCCAGACAGTGCAAAGAACAGAACCGGTCTGATTGTGGGAATTGTCGTTGGTGTTGGAGTTGTAAGTTTTCTGTCAGTCCTAGTTGTTTTCTGTATAATCCAGAGAAGAAAGCGTCATGGCGACGGTGATGAAGGTAAAAAAGGCTGCGGCATATACCTGACTCTTTAAATTGTAATTGTGCATTTTCATGAACATATTTCAGGTTGTAGTCAGTGATTGTTCATGCAGTAACTGGTTAACCAATGGGACATACCTTAATTTGTGTTTGTCCACAACGATAGAACCCATGCCAATTTCATCAAAGCGTTTTCCTATCATTGTGTGTGGTTTTGCACCTAAACATAACCAAAAGATTAAAAGAAACATGAGCTCGATTCAACTTGAAAGTCCAATTAGAGTTTCTCTTACCATATTTCTTCTCTTCAATTTTAGTTCAAGGCAAGTTAGGCGTGCAAATTTTTTTACTAATTTATTAGAAAACGTGTATTGGCAAACCCTATCTGCTTCTCTTTCTCTATTCATAACCTTGTTCATGTTTAATTTGCAGAGCTTTTAGGTATTGATACAAAGCCATACACTTTCAGCTATTCTGAGTTAAAGAATGCTACGGATGACTTCAATCCTGGCAAACTCGGAGAGGGAGGCTTTGGACCTGTTTATAAGGTGAATATTCTATGACAGGATTTGGGGTGACAGTGCATTACATGTAGGATTCCTCTTCATTATCTACGCTACTGGTGGGACTTATAAGGCTGTAGAAATAAAAACTTCTAGGGCTTTATCAGGGTTGAAGAAAAAAATTTCATTCATGGTAATAAAACACAGCCTACTATAGCCTTGATTTAATAGAAACTGCTTTCCTTTTTTATACCAGGGAACCTTAATGATGGAAGAGTAGTTGCTGTGAAACAATTATCTATAGGATCTCATCAAGGAAAGAGCCAGTTCATAGCTGAGATTGCAACTATATCTGCTGTGCAACATCGCAATCTTGTAAATTATACGGATGTTGCATTGAAGGAAATAAAAGACTTCTTGTCTATGAGTATCTAGAAAACAAGAGTCTTGATCAAGCATTATTTGGTATGATGTCATGATGATGTCAACTTTTCTATTTCTTGTATTTTTTCACGTGCCCATCTATGTATCAATGCCTGTACGCCTTTACTTTTTATTCATGTATATTATTCTTAGTATTTTATGTCACTTGCATGCTTCAGGAATTGTTTAAACTCTCGACTGGCCCACACGCTATGATATTTGCATGGGTTCAAGAGGCTTAGCCTTCTTCATGAAGAGTCTATGATATTTGCATGGGTGTAGCAAGAGGCTTAGCCTATCTTCATGAAGAGTCTCGGCTCCGTATTGTGCATCGTGATGTAAAAGCTAGTAATATTCTGCTTGATCATGAGCTTACCCCTAAAATATCTGATTTTGGTTTGGCCAAATTATATGATGATAAAAGACCCATATAAGCACCCGTGTGGCTGGGACAATGTGAGTCGTCAAGACTTAATTTCCTTTTCTTTTAGGTTAGATAAATTTTATGCATGTTTTATTTGCTTATGCTAATACTTGCATATTTTTGTTTTGATAATTCTGAACTACAAATAGTGGATATCTTGCTCCGGAATATGCCATGCGTGGGCACCTTACAGAGAAAGCAGATGTGTTTTCCTTTGGTGTTATGACCCTTGAGATAGTTAGTGGGAGGCCAAATTCTGATTCAAGCCTGGAAGGCGAGAAGATATATCTTCTAGAATGGGTATGTACTCCCTCTCTGCTTCCTTTGATTGTTAGGATGCATTTGACTTCTGAGAACATTTTCAGTTTGCATACTCTATCATGAATCATTCCTGGACAACGTCAGGGAACATGTCTAAAATGTCTCCAATATCGATTGAGCGGATATGGTATTGAGTAACACTTATCTTTCTTTGTTGGAGATTGTGAGTAGTGCCCTTTGGTCTGGAAGAGTTCTGATGTGTTCTTATTGTCAAATTGCCTTTCCTTCACTATCCCATATTCTTTAGTGGTGGTACAGAACATAGAATCTCGTCCAACCTCCAGGCTCATATTGCTGATGAGTCATGACATCGTTTGATTCTCAGCTTTCCATTTTTGAAAAATCACTAGTCAAGGGATGATTTCTGGGCCTTGGCTTAACTAGTTTTAATTATATCTGGATTGACAGGCTTGGCAGCTGCATGAAAACAACTCTGTACTTGGACTGGTAGATCCTAGCCTATCAACAGGTACAGGTTTCAACGAGGAAGAAGTTAAAAGGCTTGTAGGGATATCTCTTCTGTGCACTCAATCATCACCATTGTTAAGACCAGCCATGTCCCGTGTCGTGGCAATGCTTTCTGGAGATATGGAAGTGAGTACTGTAACTTCAAAGCCTGGATACTTGACTGACTGGAAATTTGATGATGCGAGCAGCTTCATGACTGGCTTGGCCACGAAGGAATCAGGTACAAGTCAGCATTACTCATCCACGAGTACCAGCACAGTCAGTGCTGCAAACCAAGCACCTGGAGATGCTTCTAAGCCCATCGTTCGTCACATTCTTAGTGAAGGTAGGTGAGAGTTGATGATTAGTCATGCATATTTTCTTTTGGTTCCCAAATTCTATGTATAATATCCGCAAGAGAATAAGATTGTGCTTCTAAAATTTGTTGTTTGTTCATATCTTCACCTCTACATTCCGATGTATTATTCAAATTTTATCCTCTTCATTTGTGACTTCATCTATCGTTCATGAGTGAATAATTTTTTTCTCTTATTCATTACTATCATCAATATCAATATTATTAAAATATATGTGTGTATATATAATTATGTCATATTGTTCATAAACTATGAAAAGATTACTCATTACTCAGACTTTATGCGATGCATAGGGATTTCATCTATTTTGATAGGGCAAGAGATGTGAAATGAAAATAATGTTCTTGTGACGGGGAAACTCTGCAACATAAGCTCTCCATTTGTCCGTACACACAAGATCCACCGGTTGCTCATTTTGAATCTTAGACAAGTGTGTATCCACTGTTTATATGACATTATGATTGGCTTAAACTCAAGCATTATTGAGTCTAATTATCAAGTCTAATTGATAGTAACTCTTGCAAAAAACAATTTCAGTGTTCACATAAATTCAAACCTGAAATTTTGTGCGCATGTGTCCATTTATTATAAGGGTAAATAGTAATTTAAACTTTAAATTATAGGCATAAGGACAATTTAAATTATAAATTCATATTTAATATATTTAAAATTCTAAATAATTAAATTTGAAACAATTTGACTCTAGCTGTTAATTTTAAATAAACTCCATTAATTGTGAGCCCTTGAATTTTCTCTCACTCTCCTGGTTGTTTGTGCCTTCCCCCCCCCCCCCCCCCCCCCCCCAAAAAAAACCCCTCCTTCCTTGCTCTTGAAAACGTTGAAGCATAAGATGACACTTTCACATGGAGTCGCTCTTTCCTTACATGTTTAACCTCTTGAGGATGAAACCATCCACAGCTCCTCGAGAAATTCAGCTCCTTCAGCTGGTGGCTCGGAGTTCCGCCTGCAACAGCCTTAGTTTGGGTTCGGTATATGATATGAGTCCCATAGCTTGAAGTCTGAGAGACAAGAGAAGTGGCGAGGAAGATGATGAAGCCGATCTTCACTCTCAGCCTTTCATTGAAAATGGAGGTTGCTCTGTTCGCCTCTTCCACACACCCATTTGATCCATTGGTTGCAATCACGCCTGGTGCGCAATCCAAGAGCCCCAAACTCACTAACGCAAAGTCGCAAACTTTCTCACTCCTGCTCCCCGCAATGCCTTCACCTGAAAAAACATATTTAATCATTTCTTATTTACACAAAATATGCTATCAGTTAATGATACATACATACATACATATACATACATATATATATATATATATATATATATATTCGCAGGAGAAGTGAGAGAGATGATGGGAACATGCCTACCACGCTGAATGTTATGTTTCATGTAATAATAAAGACGGCACCAACATGTAGCAACTAGGTATATCTACATAACGCCCGACGAAAACTTTTTCTACTTTAACTCACACTTAAATCAACTGCAGGTGAAGCTTTAATGGCCATATTGAATCATTTGATGAAAATTGAGATGATGAAGGACGATGAGCAAAAGAAAGAGTTGGGATACTATGAGAGTGAAGATTGGCTTCATCATCTTCCTCACCACTTCTCTGGTCTCTCAGACTCAAGTTGCGGGACTCAAAGCAAGGCTTTAGGCAATTAAGGCGGTGAACGTTGGTCTCAAAATGTTTGCTAATACTCTATAAATGATCATTTTTTTTTTCGTTAAGCATCATTGTCAATTACTCTCTTTAGTCTTATTATAAATTATTTTTAATATATTTTATCAAAATTAAGAAAAACTTTAGACTACATTAACTTTATCTTAAAATTTAACAAATTTTCACTTTTGCTTTTAATAAATTTTCTTAAATCTCAGTACTAATATTTTTATTCAAAGCATTTAATAAAGATAAGAATGTAAAGAGAAGCATTGAGAATTGGCAATTGCCTTATAAATAGAATCAAATTATTCCTTCTCTCTCTATCTTATAAATGAGACCAGAGTAATATTTACTTTCATTTAAAATTTATTATTTAGCTTACATATATCCTATACCTATCATTAAGAAAGGTGATATGAAAATATATATAAATAATCCCTTTTAGGTACTTTCAACAACTTCACAAGCGCAATAAATGACAATTAACTTATTTAATACGTTTTAAAATAAATAAATTCAACTTTAATTAAAAATAGAAAGAGAGATACACAATATATGATAAGTTATAAAATTAAATTTATAATAAAAATAAAATTAAAAATAATAATAAATGATCATCTATATATCTTACATTAAGAATTAAAGAATTTTTCTAAAAGATGTCTTTTAAATAATTTACGTTAAGCCTCAAAACCTTGACTCATAGAGCCACCAATTGAGGGAGCTAACTAGGGAACCAAACTTCTCGAGGAGCTTCTTGATGTAGATGGTTTCATCCTTAAAACGTTAAACACGTGAGGAGAGAGCGGCTCCATGCGATAGCATCATCTTCTGCTTTAGCATTTTCAGAGCAAGAGAAGAGAAAGAGATATGGGGAGAGAGGGAGAGAGACAGAGAGGAGGGAGATAGAAACATTTAACAAATAGGGAGAGAGAGAAAATTCAGGGGCCCACAATTAAAGGAATTTATTTGAAATTAATTGTAGATGCTCCAAGTTTAATTATTAAGAATTTAAAATGTACTAAATATAAGTTTAGGATTTTGCTCTAGTATTTATAATTCAAGGTCAAAATTTTATTTAAACCTTTATTATATGAACTCTCAAAATAATATTCAGTTATTCATTTCATTTTTGTCGATCGACTCAAATTAAACACAACAATTTTAAACGTTACTAACAATCACTCGAATTTGTACATGTTACAGCTTAATACTGATTTTACTATATTAATAATTAAGTCGAACAAATTAAACTAAAGACTAATATATTATTTTTTGATCGGCATGTGATTAATATATTTTTTCAACTTATATATGTTTTTCTTAATTGATTAAATTATTTCTTCATTTACATTTGCAATGCTTAAATTAAATTTAGCAAAAATAAATAAATAAATAAAGAACAAATATAATGGGTTATCAACAATTTGTTCATGCTATGTTTGGATACACATGAATTTGGATTTGGATTTTGATTTGAGCCAAATCCATTGTTTGGAAAATAAAAAATGTATCCAAATCCAAGTTCCCCTTTAATCTTTTTATAATTTGAAATTCTTTCTAAATCCTTATTATTTTAAATCTTAACTCAAGCTCTTTTGTAATTTAACCCAAATGCATAAATGCTTGATCGAACTGCCAACGATAATTGTATCGAACTACCAAAGTTGATGGAAATAAACTGCCACCATTGATTGGGATGGGACGGCCGGCTTCCACTGAGATTGGATTGACGACAACTATAAGGATCTAACCGATGGTAACAATAGGGACCAGACAGTGATGATGGGCACTAAACAGCTGATTTCCATCGGGACCGGATCAATGATGATGACATGGACATAATTAATAGCTACAACGAGCATTGGAAGGCCAACTTCCACCTAGATTGGATCAATGACGACAGGCACCAGATGTTTGAGTTCCATGGGGATCGGACTGACGATGACGAAGGGCACTGGACGGTCGACTTTCAATAGGACTGGACTGATGGCGATGATAAGGATCGGACAGCCAATTTCCACCAGGAATAGACTGATGGTGACGATGGGCACTAGACAAATGACTTCCAACAAGACTGGATCAATGATGATGATGGTGACTAGATGACCGACTTTCCCGAGACTAGATTGATGATGACGACTAGAACTGGATGGCCAACTTCCACCAAGATCGAACCTACAGTGATGACGAGGCTGAAAGTCTAACTTCCACTAAGCAAAGACTGGATGGTCACCTTCCATCATCATCCTTTCAGTTTGGTCGCCATCACCGTCGGTTCGGTCCAGTACCGGTGGAAGTTGGTTGTTCGATCCCCATCACCGTTGGTCTGGTCCTGGTAGAAGTCAACCATGTAGTCCTTGTAATCGGTGTCAGTCCAATCTTGATAGAAGTCGGCCATTTGGTCTCGGTCGTTGGCGTCAGTCTGGTTCTAGTAGAAGTAAGCCATCTAATGCCTATTGTCATCATCAGTCTGGTCCTGATTGAAGTCGGCCATCTAATGCCCGTTATAGCAAACGGTTTGGTCTTGGTAGAAGTCGGCCGTCTGATCCTCGTCTTCACCACCAGTTCGGTCATGATGGTAGTTGGCCCTCTTGTCCCCGTTGTAGTTGTCGGTCTAGTCCTGGTAGAAGTTGCTGTCATGTCCTCGTCCTTGTCGTCGTTCCAGTCCTGGTGGAAGTTGGTTGTCTTGTTCCTATCATCGACGTGGGTTCGATCTCGGTGGAAGTTGAATGTCTGGTCCCCCTTCGCCGTTGGTCCTATCCCATTGGAAGTCTACCATCTCGTCCCTATCATTCTGGCAGTTCAATCTGGGTGGAAGTCGGAGGTTGCATCCCGATCTTCATCGGTCCCACAATCCTAGTTAGCTTTATTTGTTTGATCTCATTGGAAATTGGCCATTCGAATTATCGAGTTTGACTAATCTTTCAAATTTCTTTTAAATTCAAATATAGAATTTAAAATTTAAAATTTTACTTTAGATCCAAACAAACGATTTTAATATTGTAATTTAAAATTTTTTATATCATCCAAATAAAGAATTTAGAATATATAAATTTTAAATATGATATTTCAAATATGAAATTTTAAATTCAAATTTTCAACTTAAATCCTCCATCCGAACACAATCTCAAGGTAAACATGTTATTCTGCGCCAGATAAATTCAACAACCCACCATCTAATCCAAAAGTTGCAGTGAGAAATACATTTATATTTGAGGCCAGCCCCTTGAAGGAAATACATTTCCAAGCTTATCACACAAACACACGCACGTTTATATTAAGGAGGATCACATATAATGCCCGCCATATTCATACTGCATGGATTCTGAGCAGATTCATAGATCTTAAGTGCCAAATTACTTTTGAAGATGGAAAAACTGAATTACCTTTAAGTAAATTCACATAAACTCGTGTAAATAAACAGATTTTTTGTTATAAATAATTGAACTTTTCTTGTTATTTATGGATCTTTTACTATTAATTTTTTTTAGTTAACTTGTAAATTTTTACCTCAAATACAAGTGTAAACTCACATGAATTCTTGTAAATAAACAAAATTCTTATTGTAAATAATTGAACTTTTCTTATTATTTTTTGAACTTTTTGTTATTAATTTTCTTTGATTGATTTGTAAATTTTCTCAAGTATAAGTGTAAATCCACATGAACTATTGTGAATAAATAAACTTCTTATTATAAATAATTGAACATTTCTTATTATTTATGGATTTTTTATTGTTAATTTTATTTCGTTAACTTGTAATTTTTCTCAAGTAAAAGTATAAATTCACATTAACTCTTGCAAATAAGTATGCTTTTTATTATAATCTATTGACCCTATAGTGTGAATATGTCTTTTAGGTGAGCCTTAAATGTGATTTTCCCTTCATATTTGAGGCTAGGCTCAATGGGAATCCATTCCATTGAGGGGAGAAACAAAAATGGGAATCCGCGGCTTATGATGAGTCAAGAGTCCATCAAATTTGACTTGGAAAGAGTCAAAGTCCGTTTGGTATGGAAAGAATCAAAGTCGGTTTGGTATTCCATGCAACGCACTAAGAAGCAACAAATTCAACATCACTTCAAGTGCATCTGCACCCAAAATTAATGCCACACAATTGTGTAAACTTTTTATTGCTATACTATGAGGCAATTTTAGGAAGTGTCTTTAATCCTTTTATTAGTCATCTTATAGATTTATTGAAGCATTGAATATTTTCTTATATATGCCTTGTATAGGAAGGTATGATATGTATATGAATAGGTAGAAAGAAATGGTACAAATTAAAGATGATGGAGTTTAGTGTTATTATAAAAAATAATATTGAAAACTCAATCAATTTTAAGACAATTTTAATACTCTAACAAATTTTTAACTTTCTTTTCATGTGTGAAATTATGAAGTAATTAAAAGTAATTTATATTTGGTATAAAACGAAATATATGAGTTTGGAGCTATTAAAGTCCAATTAGTTTGTTAATGAGGTTTTTTACCCACTGCACAGTCGCACTTATATATTTGCATATTAATGTTTTATTAAAGTGGGTCATTCGGCTGCTATCCTGAGCTGAGGACACATTTCCATTGTGTTGACCACCTTAAATCCACCCATGATTTTTCAAATGTCTTTCTTAAATTACACAGCTCGGTTCCCTGCAAAGCTTTAAGACTGTTCACTAGCTTACAAAGTCTCACTTCTACACATCTCATTATGCTCCACCGCTTTAATCCAGAGAAGCGCAGATCTGATGCATTCAGATATGAACAAAAGGCTTGTTGGTGGATTTCCTTTTCTTCCAAACTAGAGTAATGAAAGATTCAGCACCAAAGAGAATCCTGATCTCGAAGATAACCGATTCTTTGGTTTTCTTTTTCTGAGATAAATAGGTCCATCCTTCCATCTGCTGTGGAACTCCATGATTAGCCGGGTGACGATTGACCAGAGGTGGATTTGCCAGGCACAGATGTTATCCAAGAAACTCTTTGCATGTTGAAATTCCATAATAATACTCCTCAGTGGTAGTATTTATAAGGTAGGGAGATAATGTTTATTTTAATTTTATTTATAAGATAACTTAATGATTATTATATTTATTTTTATCATTTTACCTATATTAAATGTTGCAAATTCCTTATTAAATGTTAGAATATTTTATTTTAAAATAAGTATATTTAATGGGGGTAAAATTAAAAATTTATTGAATTTTTATACACATTAGTAAGGTTTAAAATTTTTCTTGATTCCTATAAAAATATTGAAAACAATTTATGAATAAGATTAGAAGGAGTAATTGAGATTCTCAACTTTCCTGCCTCTTCATTTCTTGAATCCTAGATTAAGTTTAGAATAATAATGAAATCACGCACCAAATCTTCCTCAGAGCAGTCAATGGGATGCTTGACAAAGGATTTAATTTAGTCAATGATGTTGGAAGAAATCAGGGAATCTGATATCAAATTAAGGGCTCCAAACCAAATAGCTTTAGAAGCCGAGCAAGAGAAGAAAAGGTGAGATAACGTTTCCTCTTCCTGACATCCAAAAGCACATCCATTTGAAGAGCGTAAATGATGTTTGAGTAGAACATCAAAGGATGGAATTGCTTCATGAAGGAGATTCCAAAAAAAAAAAAGGCAATATTTATGCGGAAGTTTAAGCTTCCAAATGCTTACCTAAGGAAACATACAGCGAGGAAGAGTGATAAGAGAATGTTGCATAAGATTCCTAAACCTGAATTTAGCTACATAGGTGCCTGAACTGTGTCCAAGCCATCTTAGGCCTTGTTTGGCACAAAACATTGAATTTTATAGGATTGTGAATGAGATTCAGAATGGCATTAGGAATGGGAGTAGGAATGGGATTAAATTTTAAAGTTAGAGAGAATTTCAGTTAAGAACCTGGGAAGAGATTTAATTTTAAGTGGGTCCAAAAAATTTTAAAATTTCAGTTCAGTCTAGGGGAGAAAAGTTAAAAGAATTTTGATAGTGAAAAGACTAAAATGCCCTTCACTTATTATGCAGAATCATTATTTGTTAATTTTTTTTATTCCACTTGTTAATTTATAATTATGAATCACAAATTACATGAGTTGGCATGTCAATAATTATATAAGACTTGACATTAGTGTTTTAATTATAAGCATCAACATTAGTTGTTAAATTACTAATTTTACTTATTAATTTATTAATATAAGTTATAAATTACTAATAGGTCTTATAATTTAATTACTAATATCAATTATAAATTATCGATAGATCTTGTAATTCACAACTGATGTTAGTAAATTAACTAGTAAAGTTAGCAAATTAATGGCTAATGTTAATGATTGTTTGACAAACAGATGTAATTTATATGTGATATTAGTAAATTAACAAATGCAATAAGAAAATTAAGAACAAGGATTCTACATAACACGTAAAGGGTATTTTGGTCTTTTTATAGTCGAAATTCTTTTGACTTTTTTCCCTAGACTAAACTAAAATTTTAGAATATTTTTGGATTTACTTGAAATTAAATCTCTTCCAAGGTCCTTAACTGAAATTCTCCCTTAAAAGTATATTTGGTATGAGATGGGATTAAAAAAAAAATTAAGACTAACATTCAACAAAAACTAGGTAAAAGACTCAAATGCCCTCATCTTTATCATTCCTCTTCAACCTCTAGAGTTGCCAAACCATCCATAGATTTCTCTTGCTCTTCTAGATGAGGTGACTAGCATTTGTCTATAAAGTTTTGCCGTCGAGTTTGTTTATGGGTGATAGCAAAAAAATAAGAATATTGCTCTATTCTTCTAGAGCTATAAGCTGGAAAGGCATAGTGAAGGTCTGAGATGGTCACAAGGTCTGTTTCTCTCAAATAGGAAAATCTTTGAGATGCAAGGGATAAGGTTTGACCTGCGAATGAGAAAACCAAACCTTGCATTTTGAGATCTAAGACATGAGGCCTTACAATTAAGGATGTGAGATGTAAGGATGATGATTGAAGATGGTTGTCCTGGGTAGAAGATAATATCACTGGCACAACACCACCGGTAAGGGTGGAAGATGGCATTGATGGTGGAGCTAGGGATGACTCTGACGAGGGAGAGAAATGGAGTAATAGGCAATTTGATTTGGAAATTTTCAATCCTAAGTTTGATTTTCCAATATCAAGGAGGAGGTGTAAGGTCGTCTTTACATAAACATAATTAATCACTAATTCCATGGTAATTAAGGGTCTAACCTAATAAGGATTACCAAGTTTGTCAAATTATACAATGGGATCCCAAGATTTCAATATCTAAAATACTCTCATACACTTTCAATATATCTAAATTAGAGTTTAAAACATTTGCAGAAGCTTGAAAAATGAAGAAAGAATCAAAACATTTGCACAAAAACTCTAACAGTGAACTGTGTAGAAAATTGCCGCAATGCATTGCACGAGTTTGATAGCATAGGGGGCGAACTTCCTTTGCATCTCATTTCTTCATCCAATGTTCGATTGAAATGATCTTAGTGTCTACAAAGAACTTTCTCCTAGCTCTAGCTAAGGGGCACAAGTTTCATAACCAAATTCATTTTCTAATAAAAGTTGGACACCCATTATCAATTTTTACAAAAACCCACAACTAGGGTGTCGAAACTCTCACATGTGTAAAAAGTTTACACCAATCTTTAGACCACACTTAATAGACCATTTTAGACTCGTGCAACACACCACACCCATTCAAATACACATAGATAATAAATTCAACCCTTAACCCCTTAATTTACAAAAACACAAGGGGGAGGAAATTTTGCATGAATCATTAGTATTCATCCCAAAACAATCAATACACTTTACTCTATTTGCACTAGTATTTCAATCCTATACAAGCTTTATAACCATATTACCACTAACTTAGGGCACAAAATACACATAATTTTTACAATAATAATGCAAGTAGATCAAAATAATGATATGAGTCCTAATTGGTAAATTAACAACATTCAAATACACATAAATAAAACAAGGAGGCCTACAAGTAGGATTTACACCAAAGTCCTAAGTCTTGAATTGTTTTCCCTAATTTAGATCTAATGAGCTAAGCCCTAAAAATATTAAAGGATAAGGGATGAGTATAACTATTCAATAACCAAGGTCAATCCATCCTATACAGTTATATATCAATTAAAAATGGATGCAAATAGCAATAAACTCATATCACACACATATAACAAATGTAGTCTCGGCCACAAAAATAACAACTATGTTACTAGGCATGCAACTTATATCATCATATATTTCAATTATACACATCATGGGGGTTGCAAAAATAACAACCATGTGCCCCTTAAATATGTCAGATTATAATAATAACAACCATGTGATCGGAACTATTAATACATGATTGATGCCAATCTTATACTCTCTTGTTACCTTTGACATAAAATCGGTGGATATTAAGTGGCTATGTCCATAACTCAGACTAACCCAGCCTTTCACTTGTGAGGAGCTATCGGGCTAAAATCAAGTCACTCATTTGTGTACTACAGTTTCTCCTAATACTAATAATCATGGAGTGTCGTACCCTTAATCTAGCCTCCTTATGAACCGGTGAAGACTAGTTATATTTAAGTCCCTCAAAGAACAAGTGGGATAATCCTAAATCAATAATGGGATAATGGCTACCTCCTAATTCCAACTATCGGTGCTAAGGCAAATTTTTGATTCTAATAGTAAGGCACTGGTGCCGCATGGATTTATCAATCTACTCCTTTCCCTACGTGAATTTCTGTCAATGATCATGCTATGCACATATTACACATATTATGGAATTCAACCAACAATCATATCATATCTCATCTATAACCATGTTCTTTCCACTATACAACCCATATCAAATATCATTCATCATTTTCATATAAGCATGTTCTCAAACATCAATATTAGTCATAATTATACAAACATGCATATCATTTCTCCACACTCCTATACAAAATTCACATCACAACACAACACATTGAAACATTTTCATTAATGGGTTTTTCAAGCACCCAAATAAATTTTAACTGATTTACTTCAATAAGCAAATAATTAACATATAACTATATAAATTAGATTTTTCACGGTTACCTCAAACTTTTAAGAGATCAAAGGTTTACCTCTCAAAATAATGACTTTTAAAGTTTCTTTTCAAGCTCGAATGGTGCCAGTTGGGTTAATCTACAATGAAATCATAAGGATATTCATTATTGCCCTATATTTGGGCAATTTTCAACATTCTACTCTACATTCTCCCTTAATCAAAATCACAAACTCACTCCCAATCATACCTAATAGGTTTACTAAGTTTTAATGACTCATATTGTCATTAATAAGCCATTAAACCATCATTAATAGCCATCAAACACTCCCAACAACTTTATTTATTGCTATTTTTAGGTATCATAGTTCTTATCCACTAACAACTCATAAAACCATAAATGTGGGGTTTAAATATCTAAACCGCCCTTATTATATTTGTTTTAGCTAATGCATTTGAACCTATAACTTATATGGATCGAAAATCACTTTCCCAACTCAAACCTGAACTTTAACCTCGATAAAAATGGAAGGAAAGGGGAAGAAGAAGACATAATGTACTTATCTTATGAGTTAGAAAGCTTTAAAATATCTGCAATGGGTCCCAAATTTGAGCCCTAGCAAAGCAAACTTTATGCCTTTTATTTTCTCCTTTTTCTCTTCTCTAATTTTTCAAACAAACATGAACCCAATTATGCAAAAATTTGGTCGTGCATTGTGGTGCATGGCACAATGAGGCCTAGCTCACGTTGGTTACCTTTGTGTGGCACGGTGAATGTTCCTCACGTTGTAGCATATGGTACAAAGAACACTTCTTCACTTTTTCTTCCACTATTGATGCCTGGTTAGCCTGATTTCACTTCGGACCTGCATGTAGGGTTGAAATCATAATCAATTACATAAATAAGACCTCTCTAGTCACACACTACATTAATTTACTTAATTACCCTCCTTAAGCTTAATTAGTCGAATTTAAATTCTAGGATGTTACAACTCTCCCTTCTTTATGAGAATTTTGTCCTTAAAATTTGCTTAATCAAGTAAATCATACCTCACTGGAATAGGTAGGGATACTACTACCTCATCTTCTCCTCTGTTTCCTATGTAGCATCTTCGATAGTGATTCCTTTCCATCTCACCTTAACTAGGCGAATGGTTTTGTTTCATTGCTGTTTCTCTTTCACATCAGCTATCCTCTCCGGTTCAATTTGGTAGGTCAAATTCTCCTATAACTCTACCTCTTTAGGCTCAATTATATGAGATAGGTCAAGTTAGAATTTCTTGAGTTGTGAGACATGAAACACGTCATATACACCTAATAAATACGAAGGTAATGAGATTTAGTACGCCAAAAGCCTAATCCCTTCTAGAATCTCAAACGGCCCAATATACCTAGGAGTTAGTTTCTTGGTCTATATAGACCTCTCAATTTCAGTTATAGGTGAAAACTTCAAAAACACATGATCTCCTATTATAAACTCTAGCAATCACCTCTTCTCATCTACATAAATCTTCTGCCGACTCTGAACAGTCAATAACTTCTTTCTAATCATCTTTATTTTCTTTGTAGTCTGACTTGCCAAATCTTGACCTAAAATACTCCTTTCACTAAGCTTGGTCCAGCATAATGGTGTTCGGCACTTCCTACCATATAAAGCTTCATACGAAGCCATTTGAATGCTTGTATGAAAGTTGTTGTTGCAAACAAACTCTACAAGTGGTAAGTGTTTATCCCAACTTCCATTGAGTTCACTTGCACAAGCTTGTAGCATATCCTCGAGAGTCTAAATTATCTTCTCAGTTTGTCTATCGGTCTGGGAGTGATAAGCCGTACTCAAATTCAACTTTATACCCAGGGCTTAATGTAAAGCTCTTTAGATGTTCGATGTGAACCTTAGATCGTAATCTGATACAATCTCCTTTGGTACCCCATGTAACCATACAATCTCCTGGATATACACTTCGGCAAACCTCTCCAAGGTTTAGTTTGCTTTAATGGCTAGGAAATGAGCTAACTTAGTCAGTATGTCAACAATCACTCATATTGCATCATAATTTTCCTGAGTACAGAGAGGCCAGCTCACGTTGGTTGCCTCTGTGCACCATGACATGTGGCACCAGAAAACCCTTTACTTTTTCCTTTACTTTTGATGCCAAGTGGCCCAACTTCACTTTGGACTCATCTTTACGGCTGAAATCATAATCAATTACACAAATCAAACCTCTCTGGCCACATATCACATTAATACACTTAATTACCCTTATTAGGCTAAATTAGTCAGGTTTAAATTTGTAAGATGTTACAGGAGATGGAACTAGGCATTCCCTCCTAGATAGGATTGCACTTGGCATTAACATTTCCATTCCCACCTACCAAACATGAAGACTTGGCATTACACAGTCCCAATCACAGTCCTACTCCCTTAGTCCTTCATACCAAATAGAGTCTTAGTTTATCATTCAAGCTAGCTTGTGAGATGTTGAGAGAGCTTATTTTAGAAACTAGATTATCAAGAAAGTGGGCTCTTAGTTTATCCAAATTCCAAGTGATAGTTACCAAGAGATTGATAGAAACCTACAAGAATTTTGAGACTCTCAAGTCTTCTTAAAGACTTGCATAGTTGAAATTTCTTGATCTCTATTCCCAGAAAGGGCTTTTAATAGAGATATTATGCCCTGAACCAATTTTTCATTTTAAATTGGAAGAAATAATGTTGGAATAGCTTAGGATTCCTTTCCAAATTGAGGAGGTATTATAAGGCTATTTAATTATAGTTCTAGAATTTAGGTCTATGTATTTCCTTTTAAGAGTTAGTTGAACCAAGAAGAGATGAATTTAATGAGTTAACCAATCTCCATATTTGTTTTGCTAATAAACTCTTATTAACAAAAAATATTTACCTAAGACCTAGACCCCTATGATGTGTTGGCTTAAAAAGGACATCCTTATTTGCCAAATGCATTCTTTTCTTTCCTTGTGTCATACCCCAGAAAAATCTATACATTTTAAGTCCATTTTTGAGTACAAAGACTTAGGAAGCTTGACAAAAGAAAGTTCATATATAGTAGCAGCAGAAAGCATAGACTGAATTAAAGTTAGATGGGATGCTTGGGATAGAGTATTTACTTTCCAAGCTGCAAGTCTCTTATTATAGATTCCAAAATTTGATTATACAAAAGAGACTTATCTTTTCCCAAGTCACCCTAGGAGCCTAGGTATAAATTTTTATCTTTATCTCCTCTTACATTATACAAAAATTGTACATTTTTTTAATTATTGTCAAATCTTTTTGTTATGTACTTTACTTTAGAGGATAGAGGAAGGTTAAAGAGAATACTTATGGAAGTTGTTTAACAAGACCTCTTAGTTAACAATATTCTTAAGAGCTTAGTTGATGATAGAGTACAATGATATTGTGCAATCCATGTAGTTGATCCCATAGGATGAATCTTGTTGTTGTATTATTATAAAATCATAACATTGTCTATATTGTACTTTTTTTAATAAGAAAATAGCATCCAAGGACTTTTGTGTTAAATTTATATCATACAAGGACCAAATGATTTGGTATTTGCTTTACAGTCCTCAGTCCTTCTTTCATATTAATTATGTAAGAAAAATGATGAAATTACCCCTCAAGTTAAAAAAAAAAGAAAAGAAATCCTATTATCACTGGCCACCAAACCACTGTTGTCAATGAGGTCATCGAAACCCTTGCCATAGGTGGGTTTATCGGCTGTCGATCATTGGAGCTTTGACACTGATGACATATTTATTTAAGGAATAATTTTTTAAGTGGCCAAGGAAGGGTTTGATCTCATGACACTTGGCCACCTAAAAAGCTTGGTGGCCACTAGACCACAAAATCCTTTAATTATATATAAGAAAAAGACCAAGTTTCCAACCACTTCTATGTTAAAACATAACGATGTGTTATTAATTTCTAAATGAAACTTGTTATTTTATAAATGTTACTTGTTAATCTGATATGGATAATTACAAATTAAAAGCTTTAAAACTTCATGCATTTTACTTATTAAAAGTCTGAATGTATTATTGTTAATCATGAATAAGTTGTTATCAAAAATCAAACCAATATTTGTTAATAAAGGATACAATTAAGTCCATCCTATCATTTTTTATAACTTGTTAAAACCATAATAAATTATTATTAATTTTAAATGAATTATTGTAAAAATATAAATGTACACTTATTGCAGAAAGATTAGCACATGCAATTAAGCCCATCTTATCCATTTTTCTAGCTTGTTAAATCTCAAATGGATTGTTGTTAATTTAGAATGAATTGCTGTCAAAACTCAAATCCATACTTGTTAATGATTAAAAGCACAAGTCTAATGGAATGTTGCTTTTCTAGCTTGTTAATTAAATCTCGATTGGGCTATTATTAATTTAGAATGAGTTATTTTTAAAAGCCAAATGGATTTTTGATGATGAAAGACTAACATGTATAATTATGTTCATCTTATATTCTTTTCTAGCTTATTAAAGCCCAAATGAATTGTATTTAATTTAGAATGAATTGTTATCAAAACTCAAATGGATACTTAATGTTGATAATTAAAAACACATGTCTAATGAAATAAGTGTATAAATAACAAGCTATTCAAAATTAACAATAGTTTATTTTGGTTTTAACAAGATAGAAAAGTATATAGGATAAGCATAATTATACATGTTAGCCTTTCATCATCAAGAATCCATTTAAGTTTTAACAATAATTCATTCTAAATTAACAACAGTTCAATTGGGATTTAAAAAGCTAAAAAAGCAATAGTCCATTAGGCTTGTGCTTTTAATCATCAACTACAAGTATTGATTCAGATTTTAACAATAATTTATTCTAAATTAATAATAGTCCATTCGAGTTTTAATAAGCTCGAAAAACGGATAAAATGAGCTTAATTGTATGTGTTAGTCTTTTATCAACAAATGTATATTTATGCTTTCATAACAATTCATTTGAAATTAACAACAGTCTATCCCGGTTTGAACAAGTTAGAAAAACTGATAGGATGGCTTAATTGTATATGTTAGTTCTTCATTAATATGTATTGGTTTGATTTTTGACAACAATCTATTCGTGATTAATAACAATACATTCAGACTTTTAACAAGTAAAATACATGAAGTTTTAAAGTTTTTAATTTGTAATTGTCCACGTTATATTAACAAGTAACATTTATAAAATAACAAGTTCTATTTAAAAATTAACAACACACTATTATATTTTAACATAAAAATAGTTAGAAGCTTAGTTTATTACTTTTTTTTTTTGTTATATATAATTAAAGGGCATGGTAGCTTAGTGGGTGCCTAGAAAGGTCATGAAACCCTCTCTTAACCACCTAAACAATTATTCCTTGAATAAATATATTGCTGGTGCCGAAGCTTTGGTGATCTACTACTAGCATCCTTACTTGTGGTAGGGGCTTCGGTGATCTCGCCGACGATTGTGGTCTTATGATAGTGGGATTTCTTTTATTTTTTTTTTTAACTTGAGGGGCTATTCCATCATTTTTCTCATGAAATTAATATGAAAGAAGGACTAGAGGATTGCAGAGCAAATACTAAATCATTTGGTCCTTGTATGATAAAAATTTGATACAAAGGTCTTTGGATACTATTTTCCCTTTTTCAATTCTTTGAATTTTAATAATATTATACTCCTTTATCACTTTGAAATTTTATACACAGATTCAAAAAATTATTAAATAGTTTGAACCGTAACAATATTTAATGGTATTCAGTTAGAATACTTTTATACTAAATATCCTTATTTCTTGTCGGTAACATAATAATCCACGTGAATGTGAACCCCACTATATCATCTTTCTGGAAGTCATTACATGCACATATAAATGCATGCAGATACATAGTGCAAAATCCTCCAATTGTGAACCTGAGCACACACATGGGAGGGTCTTCGTTTTCATCACCGTTAATGCAGGCTTCTTCAATTGCTACTGCTGTTACTGTGTTCTTCGGCTTCTTTCTTGATGGAGCTGAGTCTCTCACTACTCATCCTTCTGAAGGTATACACATCTACTTCTTCTCTTCCTTTTCTCATCCTTCTCATGTTTCAATATATATTGCAATTAACAAAATCATGTAAAATTAATTTTGTCTGTAATTATTTAAAATTAATGTGAATCTCACCCAATACATGAATTATTAAAGAAATGAGTCTCATAACTGTGTTTCCTTTGGTCATCGCCTTTGCACAATCAATATGATAGGAAGGCACAGTGTGTTGTGTATAACTCGCAGATAATGCAGTTCATTTTGATTTTTTTTTTCAAGGTTCTGTCCCATTGCTCAGCTTGTTCCAGTTGAGCAGTGGAGTAAGATTTTACTATTTTTGTTGATCAACTTGAAACGTAATTTCTTATATCCTTTTGTGCAGCGAGAGCTATAAATTCAGTCTTCAAAAAATGGGGCATCTCGGCAAAGCCAAATATATGGAACATAAGCGGTGAACCTTGCAGTGGGGAAGCAATCAACAACGCCGCAAGTCTTTTGGACCGCAAATACAACCCATTTATCAAGTGCGACTGTTCCAATGATGAAACTTGCCACATTACCGGACTGTATAGTCTTTTTATCTTCTCTCAACTTGATTTGTTCATTTTATTCTAGTAATTTTCTTTTTTCTAAATTGCTACTGCTTGTTCCTGGCAATTTTGTGGCAGGATGGTTAATGAATTGGTTGTTGGAGAGATCCCAGAAGAGCTATGGAATCTGACTTACCTCTCCCATTTGTATGATGACTTTTTCCTAACCAATTTGGAATTTTTTTTTTAGTGAAATTTCTTGCTAAAAAGAACCAGAGAGGGGTTTTTTTTTTTCTGTTTTCTAATAGGTTCTTTTATTTATTAAGCTTGCCATCTTTGTCAACATGCTAACTTTTCTCACATTGCAATTAGGAATCTTAATTATAATCACTTGACCGGCTCTCTATCTCCAGCCGTTGGAAATCTAACTCGCATGAAGTACTTGTAAGGCTAATTAATTACAAGTCAAAACTCTTCTTTGAGCTTATGATACCCATTAGCTTATGCTTTGAAGTAATTCATCTTACTTAGGGTCTTAGGTTTCAATGCTTTATCAGGAGAGCTTCCGAAGGAATTGGGAAATCTTACTGAGTTATTATCATTGTATGTTATTCACTTCCCCTTTTGCCAGTGATTTAAGTGGCAGGTTCACCTTTTTGCTTTTTCGTAGATTCTGATTGTATCATGTTATTCATAAAGTAATATTTCTCTTGTTTTCGTTTTCTTTTCAAATAGATTTTGTTAATATCTGAAATTGATAGCCAAAGAACATTAAGTAAATATGTTGCTTAATTAAGGACCATTCTGTCTTATAAGAATTATGGTATATGTTAGAAATATATCATGATAATAATATACAGGTTCCAGAATCCGCTTCATTATTTGTAAACTTTACAGGGGTCTTGGAAAAACCAACTTCTCTGGTTCTATCCCATCTGAACTAGGGAATCTGGTGAAATTAAAAAAACTGTAAGTTCTACTGCTGTCTATGCTTCTATGGTCTTGGTTTCCACAAAATTGCCAGAGTCCCTCACTGGTTTTATTTCTAATGTCAGGCTTATGACAATAGATTGTTTCAACTCCTTAAAATTTCAATCTTCCTACTAGTAATATGTGTTTTGTTCATTATGAATTATTCCATAAAACAATTATAGTTTCGCTGCGCAATGCATGGAGGTATTCAAACTGTTTTTAAAAGAACAGTAATCAGATGATTTTTTTTATAATGCAATATATTGACATGATGTCACATTAATGAAAAAGAATTGAACTGTATGAGAATAATATTCAACCATTCGGTTTTCATATATTACATTGACTTTCAACTCGAAATTATGCGCTTCATTCATGTAGAATTATTCTATAGAAGATGTATAGCCGCATGTTGAATAGTGTGTTGCTGGAAATTTGCCGAAACTACTATGTTCAAAGAATTAATGTTTGACACTGGTAGGTCATATCAAAACTTATTAACATAAACAGTACATCTGGCCTCTCCGTTATGTACTTTTCATGTTACAACTAATCAAAGTTAAGTGAATCGAGGAAGACGATTCTCTCTATCGACGTTTGAATACATATACTACTTTGCAGATATTTGATTGTCGTATATCTTTTACTGGCAACACGCCTCACAATAATGTTTTGGTTCTTTCTTGCTAAGAGCACAGCATAATGAGGCTTCTCATATGCCTACACGATTATAATTCTTGAGATGGTTCTGGATTATGCCAACTATTAAGTCTTCTCATTTGACATTTCAGTGCATTACAAATTTATTAATCTTTCCATGATGAGATGATATAAATTTCAGTGGACATTTCTCTGCAGCCACATAGATAGTTCAGGACTAAGTGGTCAGATTCCACCCACTTTTGCTAATCTTATAAACCTGGAGAGAGTGTAAGATATTGCTACTTTTTTCTTCCCTTTTTGTCTATTACACAATAAAAATAATATCAATATTGTAAATGACTTAAGCAAAAAATTTTCCGGTTTGTCTAGATGGGCTTCAGACGTAGAACTCACCGGCAAGATACCTGATTTCATAGGAAATTGGTCTAAGCTAACACTCTTGTAAGACAACATTTTTGATACCTTTTTCTTTCAAATAATAGTAATAATAATAATGAGAAACTGAATCTTTTATGCATTTTGAAATGGCTTGGGAGATTTTAAATAGACTGGTTGGTTTTGGGCAGAGTAAAGAGCATATGTAATTGCTAGATTGCAATGCTTTTGGTTAGAATGAAATGCGAAGAGTTTTTACCAGAAATTTCTTTTTTCACATCTTAGAAGATAATTAAGCTACATTTGGTTGGATAATAGAAATGCAAATGGAAAGGGAAAGCATATAAGACAAGATCTTTAATGTAATGTCTATTATACCATTATTATCATTAAGCAACAATTCCCATCCCTTTTTATTATCTTTTTAGTGGAGTCTAAGGTTTCTATTCACATTCACATTATCATTCCCTTTCCAATTTCATACATACCATTTTGCCAAACTTATCTTGTGTTTATGGTCTCCATTCGAGTGTTAGAATTTCCCTTAGTGAATTTACAGAGGGATTGTAGATATCTTCTGAACTAATGAATCTTTAGTATTCTTACAAAATAAAAGTGAAAAAGCAGATTTAGTATACAAATATGGTTTATTATTACTAGAATTATTGTATTTTTTTCTCTTCTCATCAACAATATCTTTTTAAAATTGGAGTTAATGTTTCCTTATATTGTAAAAAAATTTGAGTAAGACAAGTCTTTAGGATGTGAGGTATGAATACTTATTTTGTTACTTGTATATTCTATTCTTGAAGTGTGAACTCACATACGAGAACTTCTCTTTTTTGGATAGGAAGTTACAGGGTAATTCTTTTGAAGGCAAAATACCATCATCATTTAGCAATTTGAAATCCCTTACAGACTTGTGAGTTCCATTACTATTTATTTGCATGCATTTCTGCATATTGATAGGGGCTAACTATATGCTGCATAATTCTAATGTAGGAGAATAAGTGAAATATCTGATGGGAGCTCCTTACTGGCATTTATAAGGAATATGAAGTTTTTGATTGTCTTGTAAGTCATAAAGGGAACAACACCCCTAATAATTCAAAATCTGCCTGCAGTGTAGATATAGTTTTGTTGTTTTTTCTTTTGTTACCTAGCATAACATTTTGATAACCAAATCTTGCAGAGTTCTGAGGAATAACAACATTTCTGATTCAATTCCATCCAATATTGGTGAATTTCAAAAGTTAACCCGGTTGTGAGTATTACTTGTATATTTAGCTGTTTAGATAAATATCAAGTATTACAAAAATTGAACTTGTCTTTAAGATCTAGAGCAAATAAATCAGATGGAGGATTTCATTGGATATCTCTACTTTGAATAGTCTTTTAACTATAGGACAACCTTTAAATTTTGGTACTTATTGAATGTTATAACAATAAGCCTTACCCTACTAGGTGGAGTGGTCATATGGATTGCACCATGTCGTTATGGTCTATCAATAACCAAATCTTTAGATATATTATTAACCAAAAGGTCTCTTTCTATAACTTCATTGAGACTTCTTTTTGGTCTTCCTCTTCCTCTTTTCACAGGACTTGAGATTATTTGTTCAACCTTTCTAACCAATGCCTCTAAATGCCTTCTTCATACATGTCTAGATAATTTTAAATGATTTTCTACCATTTGTTCCTTTATAGATACTACACCAACTCTTTTTCATATGCAATCATTATGAATCTTATTCTTTCTTGTATGCCCACACATCTATCTCAATATCCTCATCTTTGATGCTTTAACTTTATATTCTTGTTGTCTATTTAAAGCCCAACATCCTAATAGAGTATTGATTATTGTAGGATAATGGATAATTTGAGAAGTTAGAGACATATTAGGAATAAATATTATTTTCTTATTTTAGATATTTTCTATTTAATAATATTATTTAGATTTTATTCAGATATTTAGTTATTTAGATTTTATTTAGATATTTGTCTAGATCAGTGTTTTGAAACCTGGACCGAACAATCTAATCGTCGACTACTCAACAAAATGGCTTAGTTCGACCATTTTAACCACATGGGAAGTTGGACTAGATTGACCCAAGTAATTTTAATAGAACTGAAGTTGACTTAGCCCGATCTAAGCTTAAAAAATTTACCAAAAAAAAAAAGAAAACTTAGGCTCATTCGCTTAGATTCATGATTTCTCTTCTCTAATCCCTTGTTCTCTTCTATCTTCTCTTCTCTAATTTATGATCTCTCCTCCATAACCCAGGCTCAATCTTCGATGTCTCCTCTAGCCTTTACCTTCAGCTCTAGCAATCCAGCCTTTAGTATCGAGATCAGAAGCTCATGAGTCGTGACATGATGACGTGCCTCATACTCTAGCATTTTGCTTTAAGATCACGAGCTCATACAGATATGCCTTTGCCTCCAACTCTAGCAGTCCAGGCGTCTAGTCTTTGGCGTCAAGATTCCAAGTATCATTAATAAATTAATGTTTTATTTATATATTTTTTTATATAGATATTATTTTTTATTTAATTTTTACATCACTAGTTTAACCGCTGGTCTAACCAGTTGAACCATGAAACTCGTCACCTATTACCCTTTCCAGTTCAACATATGGTCTAGGTTTCAAAACATTGACCTAGATATCTAGTTATTTATATTTTATTCATATATTTAATTGTTTTAGATTGTATTTACCATTATAAATATACTTAGTAACTCAGAAGTTAGTATATCATGAATAAAATAGAGTTTTTGGACTTTTGAACCCTTTGAAAATTCTCTTAAATGAGGCTATTGAGAGAAGTATAGAGCGAGATTCTTGTTATATACTATTTCAATGGAATTACTCTTCTTATTTTCTTATATCAGTTCTGTTTTCTCTTTTTAATATATGAAGTTAGATTATGATTTCATATTTTAATAAAGGCTTATCTTCCTTATTTCTTTCTATCAATTATGGATCTTATCATTTGATATTAGAGCCATTCAATCTGTGGTACCTATCCATTTCGCAAGCCTTCTTCACAACCCTATACTTTCATAACCCATTTTATCCTATTATCATTCATCTTCTAGAACAAATTTTCCCAAGTTTGATGGTGGAGATTCGTAGCCATAGATTTTAAAGTTTGAAGATTATTTTCGATATTATTTAATAGAAACTTAGTAGTATGGTATACCAAATTCTATGTTAAGTAGTGTGGGATGCTGAATCGGTTATTTAAGTAGTTTGGTTCTTCCACCTTAATAGCTAGCTTTTGGAGTAGGGTTTCCCATCCTACTTAGATACCCATCAATTAGTATTAGAGCCTGGTTGTCAGGAGTTTTGGAAAAGGCTACCTGTGGAGGGTTCTGACTAGTAGAAAGTCAAGTGTTAAAGACTCCAGTCACTGGGACGTTGGCTTTTTATGAGGGCCAATTGAGGGAGACTTAGTAGTATGGGATACCAAGTCCCACGTTGAGTAGTATGAGATGCTTAATGGAGTATTTCAGTGGGTTCTCCCACCTCAACAACTAACTTTTAGGGTAAGGTTCTCCATCCTATTTAGGTACCCATTAATTGATAGGACCCTCCATAGATAGTTCCAAATTAAAGCACATTTAACTATATAAAAAGTAGATTTACACACAAAAAAACAAACACTACAATGCATTACTTCAGATACAATACAATAGACTCATATAGAGGACAACTACACCTCACAACTTCATATACTAACACATAAGGGTGACAAAGAAAGAAAACAAGATACAAACCATAAACTATAACAATATAGTCTCCACAAAAAAAAAACTTTAGAACATAATTGGTTTGCCAAACTTTTGAGAGGATTAGCTCTCCCCCTCCAAAGCTTAATTTTGACCCAAAATTCTTCTCTCCCCATCATTTCTAGGTCCTCTCTTTGTATAACCCCCTTCACTTTCTGAAGCTTCCCTCAACTATTCCTTGGCCATTATGTTATCTTCTAAACCAATAGTTCTATCTTTTCTACCCTTTTGCCACTCTTTTGTGTCTCCTTGTGTGAGCTTTGATAGTGACAGGTAATGGGGTCTTATCATTACTTCGCTTGAAGATCCATCTCGTCCTTAAGATGATAGGCAAGATTTGTCATAGTAGCAAAACCATGAATTGCATATTCTATCCTCTTCCTAAAATCTTCAGAATTTTGTAAATATGAAATAAAATCTATCTATGCTGAAAGTTTCCCTTTAAACCTATGTGTGAAATCAGTTGCTTCTATAATCACACTATCTTTTCTACTGTACCATCTCCTCTTTCTTTTATCCTTCTTTCCACCATCATCTAGCATCACCAAAATCTGTTTTTGTCTATTACTTCCCTTTCTTCTTGTTGTTTCTTCTTTAAATAGGGAAGTAAGCTCCTTTAGTTTGTTGGTCGCCATTACTGCAAATGAAATATCTACTATTTTTAATGTGTAAGACCTGCACAATGGAGAAAACCCTTCTAGTTTGCTTGACGTTGCTAGTAGGAGCAATACATATCCTCTCTCTTTTCTTCTTGTGGCTTTAGTGCTAACATGGTGAGGGATTCTCCTTTAATATCTTAATGACAAAAACTAGGGAAAAATATCAATCTTTGTACTAGAAATTTAACTTTGGAGTACTTAATGTTTTTAACCTCTGGCTTATTTCCTATTGGGTTAGTTAATCTAAAATTCCTACATGCAGCACGAAAATAAGCGAGATGGGTAGAGAGAAAATTGTTCTCTAAACTCCCAGTGCTAAACTTCACTACCCCCAATCTATCTACCTTTGTGCTATCTTCTAAAGAACATGGAAATGTTACAAGCTTCATTCCATATCTATAACAACAACATATATTTATTAAACTCTTGTGGGACTACTTGGATCTAGTTTGACAATTTTTAGGACTTGAAAAGCTTCTACTCTCATCTTTTCTTTTTTCTCTAGTCCAGCATCCTTCTCTTTTATTTTCAACCCTGATTTCTATGCTTCATTATGCTTCTTCTCTCCTTAACTCTTCCTTCATTTTACCTTTTCTTCCTAAACTCTTGAGGTGTTTGTCATGTTATCTATGGTGTTTGTCATGCTATCTAGATACCTACTACACTTCTCTAGCAACTCCTTCATTATCAATATCTTATGTTCATCTAGAGCCATTGCCATCTCCTCTTAGGATTGTACTACTCTAATACCAAATGATAGGACCCTCCACATATGGTTGTAGACTAGACCACCTCTAACTATAAAAAAAAAAGGAGATTTACACAAAAAAAAATGAAAATAAACACCATAATGCATTGCTTCAAATACAATATAACAGACTCATACAGAGGACAACTACACCTTACAATTTCTAATACTAACACGGAAGGGTAACAAAGAGAAAGAAAACAAGATACAAACCACAAACTATGACAATATACTCTCTACATAACAGAAACTCTATAACATAACTAGTTTGCCAATCTTTCAAGAGGAGTGGAATCTCACTCCAAAGCTTAATCTTGACTCAAAATTCTTCTCTCCCATTATTCCTAGCTCCTCTCTTTATATTTCCCCTTCTACTTTCTGAATGTTTCCCTTACTTTTCTATCTCAACTAGTCCTTACCCATTTTCTTTTCTTTTAAACCAATGGTTCTATCTTTTCTACCCTTTTGCCTATTCTTTTATGTTTCCTTCTGTGAGCTTTAATAGTGCCAAGTGATGGGGTCTTATCATAATCAAACTTCTAAAGACTTCAAAGTTCATATTGCATTGAGGTACTTAGAGGGAGATGCTCATGATTTCTTCACTTCCATTAACATAGAGCTTACAATTCTCTATTGGAATGAATTGGTGGAGATGTTACTTGAAAATTATGGTCCTGGAGAATTCTAAAATCTAGATGAGTATCTTTGCAATAACAAATAGAAGGGGAGTGTTCAAGAATATTGCTGAAAGTTTGCTAAGCACTCTACACGAGTTAAAAATTAGCCAGAACATTGTCTCTTAGGTGTCTTCATTGATGGCATGAAGGAGGAGTTAAATCTAAGGTAAGAATTCATAAACCTAAAGCACTTTATCAAGCAACAAGATTGGCCCTTGAGTATGAGATAAAAACCCAAAGACCTTGTAGGCCTATAGCTTCCTTTCTACCTACTTGAACTAAAGCCTTGACTGCATCATCATCTTACTCCTTTAAATCCTCTTTAACCCTGAACCTTCTAGCTTCTCTATTAGACGAAATAGCATCATCCTTCCCATGGGATCTTGAGTGACAGCATCTAGAAGACCAAAGTCTTTGCTTCTAATGTGGTGTAATCAACAATGTTGGAAAATCTATATCTATAGATATAAAGACCAATGTTAGAGAAATAGAGTCTAAGTAAGTTGAAGTTTCCTCTTATGCTACTCTTGAAAAGTTGAAAGCCATTTTAAAACTATTATATTCTCCAAGTGAATGCATTATGCTTATTATGTTGGATGATGAGTTTTCCCTCCACTTTACCCTTGACACATTATTGTTGTCTCTTATTCCCTCTATGCATAAATTTGTTGTCTATATGGCTTTCTATGACCAGGAGGGCAATTTTTGGTGTTTCACCTTAAGGACAAGGTGAATTTTCAAGGGGAAGTTTTGATAGAGCACCAATTATGGTGGGATAATGGATAATTTGAGAAGTTAGAGATATATTAGGAATAAATATTATTTTATGTTATTTTAGATATTTTCTATTTAATAATATTGTTTATATTTTATTTAGATATTTAGTTATTTAGATATTTATCCAGATATTTAGTTATTTAGATTTTATTTAGATATTCGATTGTTTTGGATTGTATTTACCATTATAAATATGCTTAGCAATTCAGAAGTTAGCATATCATTAATAAAATAGACTTTTGAAACTTTTGAGCCCTTTAGAGATTCTCCTAAGTGTGGCTATTGAGGGAAGTATAGAGTAAGATTCTTGTTCTATATTGTCTTAATAAAATTGCTCTTCCTATTTTCTTCTATCAATTCTATGTTCTCTTATTAATATATGATGGTATATTTTGATTTTGTATTTTAATCAAGACTTATCTTCCTTATTTCTTTCTATCAATTCTAGATCCTATCGCATTCACTATTATATAACATAGCTAGTTTTATAATAGTGTAATAAAACTTTCCTTTAATCTTATTAGGTACTTACTTACTGCTAATTCTGTTAACTTAAAATGTTTATCAAGCTAAGTGATTTATGGTTAGAGCTCAATGTCTTCACCACAGGCTTAGGATAAACTGTGAGTTCAACAAGGGGCACTACTGCACTGGCTTTCTATGTTAACTTGTCTTTTATTCTTAATATTTTTTATTTTTTTCTGGTAGAAGATGGTCTGAGTCAACTTTCCATCATATGTTTTTGTTTACATCTGTAATTATTCATGGGAAAAAAAATAATGATCAATGCTTTTGAGTAGTGTTTGTGTTTCAAACCTAAATGATTATATCTGCATGCTGGTTCTTACAGGGATTTAAGCTTCAATAGTATCACAGGGCAGATTCCAGAATCACTATTCAACTTGAGTTCATTATCATCCTTGTAATAGATTTTCCATGCTTGAGAAATTATATTATGAATTTCCTAACATGCTTTCATAAATGGATTAATGCATGATTTGTTCTTTTTTCTTTCTTTTCTTTCTTTTTATTCAGGTTCCTTGGAAATAACAAACTCAGCAGACCTATCCCTACCCAAATAAGCCAATCTCTTCTTAATATGTTAGCATTCTTGACATGTTTGGAATCTGCAACATCAATGCTTTAAGAGTGGACCATAATATATATAATGTTTTAGTGTTGTTATATATGCTTAACTGAAGAAAAATAGAGGAAAGAACTCCAAAAATTATGTTATGGTATCATGTGTAATTAGAGTAGAAAGAAGACATCATAAGTAAGGTAGGGGAGTCAACATTCCCACTACTCAAACACTTAAAGAGCACAATGGTACAAATTAATATAAATGACCATAATCAATCAATATAATGAGCAGTTAAAAAAAGAAAATAAAATATTTGAAAATAATCGTCCATGAAGAGGAAATTGAAACTTATCAAAAAAAAATTTTCCAGAGAAACTGATCAATTGAAGTAATGAATTCCCATACCGTAATGTTTTCAAAGGCAGAAGATGGTTGCATATTTTCCTATGCACTGACATTATAATGAGCAAGTTTTGCATCCATCTATCTTTTTGATTGATATCTATAGGTAGATTATTAGGGTGCTTATGAACAAGGGAATTAGTAAAATCTTTTTCATGTTAAACTTAAGCTACTAAAACTACCCTAATTTTAATTGAAAACTTGTTCTTCAATGTATTATCTGTATCCATAAGATAGTTACTTAACAAAATTGAATGAATGATTGTAGAGACTTGTCATACAACAATCTATCAGGGAGACTCCCTTCTTGGCCAAACTAAAAAAATTTACAACTGTAAGTAATTTATTATTATTATTATTATTATTGTTGTTGTTGTTATTGTTGTTGTTGTTGTTGTTGTTGTTGTTGTTGTTGTTGTTGTTACACTTCTTATTTGTGAATAACTTTCTTCCAATTTCAAATGCTCACTTTAACTAGTCAACCCTCTCTACAACTAATAATATGAAACTAGTAGAATCTTGGTAAGGAGGAGTAAATGTTGATAGAAAAAGAGAGAAAGAATTAGGAAGAAGTTGAGAGTAATCTTCTAGAATCAAAATCTAATCCTAGAAATAGGAAAATCTCCAAATATATCTGAATAATACTTCATTCATGTTTCCAAGAGTTACAAGAGAGGATATTTATAACAAGACACAATAACTAAATATAACTACCTAACCTTATCCATAAGAAATTGACAATAATATATAACTAATCTAAAATACTTAATAAAAGCAATAAAATATAAAATATCACATTGGACTTCCACGTCTGTTCCTAGAATATACCAATAAGGGACGTTGGTTCCTATCATTACCTTAGGAGAAAAGCCTTGTCCTCAAGGCAAAAAGAGGGAAATTGTGTAGCAATCAGATAAGATGAGCCAAGTGTTCATGAAAGTTGCTACTATACACCAAGATGTCATCAAAGAAAACTAGAATAAATCTTTACAAAAAAGGACAAACATGTCATTCATTATAACTTGAAAGGTGGAAGGTGCATTGGTAAGACCAAAGGGCATTACAATCAATTCATAATGTCTAGAGTAGGTTCTAAAGGCTATTTTGTGAATATATTCTAGTAAAATGTGAATTTGATGGTAACCAAAACGTCAGTCAATCTTAAAAAAAATAAGATGCCCCATGTGATTCATCAATATTGGGTATAGGGTACTTATTTAGGATAGTGATTTTGTTGAGTTCCTTGTAATCAATACACATGCACCAAGAATTATCCTTTATTGGAACCAAGATCACGAGCTAGCAAAAGGACTTGCATTGAGATCTATGAACTCTTTGAATAATAACTCTTCAACTTGCCTTTCTATCTCATCCTTATGAGTATGTGGATGTCTATAAGGATGAATGTTTAGTGATATAAAGGAATAGAGTGGCAGTGATCTCTCATGACTGGTAAATGGAATGTTTTAGCAAACATAGTAGCACATGCTTGTAACAAATCCTACAAATATTGATCTAACCATGAAATAGCATTATCACAAGAAAAACTTTGTAGGGAAGCTACTGTAAGCAACCTATATGGAAATCCTTGGAGCTTGTAGAGCCTTCCATTCACCCAAAAAATCATGAACATTTTCTACCAATTAGCTTTGCATTGTGTTCAAAGAGGCTAACCATTTAATTTCCAAAACCATATTTGCACCTCTAAGGAGAAAATGGATAAAAATCATCCTTGATGGACAAACTTTGTACTTGTACCTCAAGTTGTTTGCAAATGGAATGACATGGAATAATGCTGCCATTTCCAATCTACACCCTAAAAGAAGTAATTTTCTGGACTGGAATTTGTAATTCTAAATTTTATGTTAAACCACTATCAATTAAGATGAGAACAACTTTAGGGAGAATATAACCTTATAGCTTCATTGTTGCTAAAGAAGGGTTGCTTAATATGGCATGAAGGGAATTTTTGCAAGATTAGAATTTGAAGCTATATTGAGTTTTTCTTTCGCTAAGGAAGGCTATTCAGGATCTTTAGTTATCTCTATGAGTTTTAGAGATGAGATTATGCATTTATGACTAGGGACAAATTTATATCCACATTTAAAACACAACCCTTTATCTATATGTAAGTGTTTGTTAGTTTTAGAAATTTATAGTGGTGGTAACTGTTAAAGAACCTTTATTAACTGCTGAAGGTAATTGCTTTTGAAAAATAATTTTATTTTGCTCCTACCTGATAACTGCTCTCTCCTGTTGAATATGGCAAAACACCCAAGAGGAGGGTGAATTGGGTGTTTGAAAAAATTTCAATTCTTTTTAAACTTTTAACTAAAATTGTGTTCAAAGGAAGTTTTAGGCAAATTTGAGTTCTAAACTATTTGTGTAAGAATGCCAAAGTTGTTTTCACAAGCTTAGTAAGTATAAAGTCAATTTCTATGTAAAAGATTAAGTAAGAGTATATGGATAAATCAATTTTAATTTTACACATTAAAACATAACATAAATCAATGTTGCTAGAAATCTAAAGAGTTAAGGGAAGAGAGATTGCAAACAATAATTTATCCTAGCTCAACTCCTCCTCTTGAGCCTACATCTAGTCCTCAAGTAACTATTTGAGATTTCTCTACTATAACATAAGGTTGAGTGGGTGCTTGCCATCTTAGTACATCCACAAGTTTAGTTTAGGCACTTGTGAGCCTTTACAATAACTTACTTTGCTAGTGAGCTTCTTTTTCTAACAGAACAACCTCTCTTGATTACAAGAAAAATCTATCCCTCACCTTTACAAAGGTTTTGAGTATGTGTATCACTCAATTGAAACTCTCTTTAAGAGTAATGATGAGTATAATGAAGCTCTAATACTCAAATGATGAAGATATAAATGATCTTAGCTCAAGAACTATGATTTTCATGTAACAAGAGTAATATGATCATGAATTTCATAGCTCAATAATTTCTAAGGTTAATCACTTCTTAAAATCAGTTTTGAGTGTTGAATTTATAGATCATGGAGTGAAATATGTGTTAGAGACATCAAATGACTGTTTAAAGACATTACACAATGAATATAGCCATTGATGCATTTTTTTATAAGTGTCCAGTGCTAATTTAGGCGTGTTTTGCAGGTTTCTTAAGCAAAAATGACATATCACGAGAGTTTTTGAAGTGTCTCATGTGTGATTTGGCTTATAGAGCTTATTTAGTACTTTTAGAGGTTATTTCTCACATGGGATAGGTAGAATCATGCGTGATTGAGCATACAATGGCTATTCAGAATGAAAATAGGTTTCTGGAGGTCATTTCATGCGTGATCAAGAAGTACTCTCATGCAAGTATTTGTATTAGAGCTAAATCATGCGTGCGTCTCAGCTGCTCTCATGCATGATTCTATAGCTTTATTGTACAAAACTTCATAAAGTCCTAACGCACTCAATACAATTTCAAATTGACAAATTATATATTGTTGGAAATATCATGAAGTTTGGTTTTCGATGAAGTAAGTTTCACACTCAAATTCAACATATATTTTAAGATATAATTAAAAGAGTATACGAAGGTCAAAACTAAAATTTGTGCAGAATCAATATCTTAACACTCAACTTCTAAAGTTCATATCTTTCTTAATAGAACTCTATTTTAGATAAATAAAGTGTCATTGAAAATCTATTGGATTTTATTTTCAAATGTGATATATTTCACATTAAAATGATCATTATAGTGAGAGATATGATACGAAACATAACCAAAGGTCGAAACTGATTTTCTGCATAATTTCCTTTTCAAGACTTAGACTTCAAGTGTTCATGACTTTTTTAACTTAACTCCATTTTGAGTAAATAGAACAACTTTGAAAACTGATGGATTTAGTAAGAAAAACATTTCAACCTTTGTGGGACATATGTAATAAAAGATGAAAACCATGATTATAAAAAATTATATCTCACACTTTCTTTTAAGAGTTAAAATGCATGTTGAGATTTAAGATTTTTTGAGCCAATACTTCATATATAAATCAATGAATTTAACATAAAGACTCTTAGCCCAATGATATTATACCTATCAAGTTCAAGGCTACCAAGGTACACCAAGCTTGTATGAATGCCTTCATTCTTTCTAAGCTCTTTTTGGATCATCATTCTCTTTATCTTTATGTTTTTCAATAATGAGTGTAGCATGCAAATGATGACTTCAACTTTGTTCCTCTTCGTGCTTATTCTTATTTTCACTTTGGATAACCTTAAATGATATACCATGAATAAAATGGTTAGTCCAAGAGTTAATATACATATATCCAAGTTATGCAAGATAATGCTATGAACATTCTTAGATATAGAATCAATTCAAGATAAGGAAAAATATGATAGTATAAAATAACTTTGATATACACAAATCATTTTTCCAAATCTCATGTAATATGGAACAACATAAGTAAAAATACTTTAAAGCACTTATTCCATAGACATAGGTAACTACTATATATATATATATATATAAGCAATTAAGCATAAGTATATTTGTTATCATCAAAACTTAAGCTAATACATAATATCACAAGTCATCATGTCCAACAATCTCCCCTTTTTTTATGATGACAAATCACCTATAAAAAAATATACTTATATGATAGAAAATAAATGTTTAGCAAATCATATTTTTCATGATTAGTTCTCCCCCTGTTTGTCATTAATAAAAAGGCTTTGAAGTAAATGTAAGGGAATTCAAGAATAAGAAAAGGTTTAGAGTTTAAAGTTTCCTCCCCTCAGTGACCCCATTTTGTTGAAAGCTGATAAAGTACTCCTCTGCACTTGATTTGATGGAAATTATTCTTAAAGAATTAGCTCACAAGAAGTTGGAGAAATTGCTTGTTATTAAGTATTGATTCTTCTCTATGTACAAATTGAACACTAATAAATAATAAGAAGAAATCAATTAATAAATATAGTGTCATGATAGAATATATTACAACATACTCATGACACATGAATATTAAATATGAACATGCAAACCATTCTGTGTCAAAACTTGCGTGTGACCCTATTGTCCTTACGCGTGAATTGTCTAATTGATTACCAAGAACAATTCTATATGATAGATCACTTGTGGAACCAACATACTCTCACACATGAAATGATAGGCAAAATGCCAAAGCTAATTCTTGTGAACAAAACTTGCACAGAAGCAAAGGACTATACATGTGAAATGACCAGTTTCAAACTTCAATCCATTCAAGAGGATAAATCATGCATGGAACATAATATGACTCACACGTGAAATGCAATGTACTCAACCAAGATTATGCATGATCAAGAGATATGGATGTGTAAATCACAGATCATACAAGTTAGCAAATTGAACTTGGCTTGAGATGACTTAAGACTCAATAAAGCAAAATATGATTGTGCATCATTTGACAAATCACGCGTGGCTACCATTAGTCTCAAGTGTTATTTTGTACTTTGACATAACGTAATAAAGCATAGATGCTAAAACTTGCATAGATTACAAAGACTTTCACATGTGGTTTTGAGCACAGAACCAAAACTTAAGGCATCACATAACAAAATACTTAATCACGCGTGAAAGTACTTCTTCATACTTGCGTGATTTAGCTATCAATGTGCCTAACATGCAAAAGCTCACGAGTAACCTATAGAATCACACGTGATTTTGTTCTCATACTGCAAACATCTTCTAAGAAATTCAACATGCAAGAAAAACATTGTTTGCAAACTTTAATGTATTTAAATAGACCAATGACAAATCATACCAAATATGAATGACACATTTTCTGATGCCAAAAGATTTAAAGAGCCAAGGTTAAAATAGCATCAAATGTGTAAATAATTTGACTTTATCAAAATTTTTATTTGGTTTAAAATATGAGACAATGGGTGGAAAACCAAATGTTATTATTTTATAAATATGATCATCAAAAGATATTTTCAAAATCATATAGAGATCATTGTAAGGTATCAAAGATAGTTTTCATCATTAAAACTTGTCAATCATGCAATGCTCTCCTTTAATGAATGCATATGACTCAAATTTTAAAAGGTAAGGGTTTTATAAATTCTCATTTGAAGCCTTGGCAAGTTGATGTTGATTCATGAAGATCATTGCCACAGTTGTTGTTTCTTCTTGAGCTCTTCCTTCCTTTTCTACTCTTCTTGTTCTTTTAGGTGTAAGCTCATAGACACCATTGTTGATGATGTAATTGTCTAACAATTCTAAGGAAGTTTGATGCATTTGATCATTTTCAACTTCAAACATTTGAAACACATCATTGTTAAGGTGATATACTTTTCTTAAGGTGGTACAAGTTGATTACATAAATCCAACTCAATTTTTGACACCTTCAACAACTCATTAGTGATGTTGTCATGTGATTTACATGGATTTCATAATTTAATCTAACTCAATCTTACTATCCATATATTATGACTTTGAAGGCTTGATGATGATTGAATTTGTGTGCAGCTATGTTCTTTAGAATTCAAGTGATCTTTTTGCTTTCCTTTTCTCTTTTCATTTTTCACTTCAGCCTCTAGATGAATCTTCTTCATTCTACTAGATAGGATGTTCTGGTCTAGGGGTCATCTACTCCAAGTTTTTGATATTGCTTCTCTAGTAGTTCATAGGAGTAGTGAGATGATGCTGGATGTTGTTATAAATCCTCAACCTTCACTCTTGGTTTAGATTTACCACTTTAAGGCAAATTTCCAAGTAAGCATCTAGTCCAGACTTGGTTACCTCTTGTAAACATACATGCTTAGTTTCTTATCTAGTTCAAGCTTGTTTTGCTCTTGTCACAAATCTTTCTGTAATTCTAACTCATATATGGCACACTACTTAAAATTAAGATAGGAAATTGTAAAGTTTTAACACAAATGGTATCCAAACTTTATTGGATTCAACAAGGTTAGATATTCAAAGCTCATACACTTTTCATCTAAGAAGCACCGATACAGGTATGAGTATCGGGTATGATACGATACAATACACGAACACAGTAATTTTTCAAATTTTAGGATATAGGTATGGCTATATAAATAAGTAAATATTAAATATTTGGATGTCCAAAAATACAATTTCAAGATGTCTAATGCCATCACAAAATATAATACAATAACTAGTTAAGTACTTAAATAATTCCAAATGGCAAAAGATAATTATTAACTTAATTAATTCTAATCTTTCCCATCTTCATTAACAACACCACTTTTTCCTATAAGTTCTCTCTCCAAAATTAGCTCATCTAGAGATAAACTTGTAATTTCAAGATTTTCAACATCATCTATTTCCAACAATCTCCACTAATATCCCACAATCTAATTTCTTTAGTGGAATACTGCTCACTCTTCTTGAAAGAAGATGAAGATTTAAATGAACAAAAAACTAAATTCTCTGCTCTTTTTGGAAGCATCTTGTTTCTCTTTAGTGAATGAACAAAAGAGTAAGCGCTCCAATTTCTTTCACAACAAGATGATGAGCATAGTTGATGAGAAGTTTTAATGCAATCCCTTGAAGTTTAGGAGCATCACCACCATGATTGCTCTACCAAAATTTAGGCTCTAATATCCATCTATCTTGTTTGGAATCAACAAAACAAAACTCATATGAACATCCAAAAAACTTTAAAAATTCATTCACAACAATTTCCTCTCTTCTTCATATGGAAACATCCTTCTAAAGCACTTTTTCTTCTCAGTTGATATTTTAGCGTTTCTATGTGGAGAGACTCTATTTGGTCCACCTTTAAGCCATTATGTTGTATAATACCTATAATAATATAATGACATCAATTAGAGTTGTGATGTAAAAATGGTAAAGAAAAGAATTTTATGAACAAAAATAAGAATAACACACCTAGGATTCAATAAGTGAGGAAGACAATGTAATGGAATGGCACTCTGTCCATCGATCAATGATAATGTTTGTAAACAACTTCATAAATGAAGAGTACTTAGAAATTGATTTTCTCTCATGTTTATAAATTGATTCCTGAACTCTATTATTGAATCCCACATCTCATAAATCAAATGAAGTGTGGGCCTATCTGTGTCAACAAATCTCAGTATATCCTTTTAAGTTTAAAATCAAATCAACAATAATATGATTAAACATGTTTATGCATATGATTTTAAACTAAAATTTTGAGTATGGGGATGATTATAAAATGAGTTGTAAAAACAAAAACTCCTCATTTCACATGTGATGCAAGAGTTTGAAATAATGCTCCAAAATATGTCTTTTAGTAATATGCAATATCTCAAACTTTGATGAATAAATGTGTAAAATTTAGTTTGATATGAAATCAATTTTCAAGAGGCATGCATCATTTGCAAAATTCAAACTT